TGTTATTAATTTGATAATTATTATGTTCAATTCCTGTGTTCAAACTTTGCGTGCCTATATGTGTTTTTTGTCCTACAGGTCGGGGAGTTGGCAGGGATAGCAGTTGGCTCTGCTGTTTGCATAACCTCCATCCTTGCGGGGTAATTTCCCTTCTTGAACTCGAAGCCCAGTGGGTGATACATAGTGATCGACAGTCTCCATATTGGCCCATGTGTTATTAATTTGATAATTATTATGTTCAATTCCTGTGTTCAAACTTTGCGTGCCTATATGTGTTTTTTGTCCTACAGGTCGGGGAGTTGGCAGGGATAGCAGTTGGCTCTGCTGTTTGCATAACCTCCATCCTTGCGGGGTAATTTCCCTTCTTGAACTCGAAGCCCAGTGGGTGATACATAGTGATCGACAGTCTCCATATTGGCCCATGAATTAATGAAGTCATATATTGGCCCATTGCAACTCAGATTAAGCCCACCTAAAATTATGTTAAATTCTGACCTCTTCTATAGCACAGTCATTTCAAGAGAATACTTGAACGAAGGGAATTAAGAGGTCAACTCTCCTTAATTACATGCTGTTGACTGTTGAGGCATAGCTGGCATGGTAAACTACTAAATGAGTGTTTCTACAAAGACCCGAAAATGGGACAGATAGGGTGGACAGGTGAGATGTCCCCCCTTAATTGCATAATGAGTTGGCCATGACCTGTCCCATTTTCGAGTCCCTAAGTCATTTTTCCTACTAAATAGGTCCACGTGATTTCATTGGATTTAATTAGTAGAATTAATCCTAGGTCTGTGTACTCAGCGATTAACGACCTTGATTTCAATGAGATCAGGGGGGAAAACAGAGAGAGGGAGAGAAAGTCGAAGCATATACGTAAACTGCTGGCCGGTGTCGTTAATTAATTATGGTAATTAATCTAAAAAGTCATCTAGTAGTATATTAAGAATTGAGCCACTGATATCAGCGTGCGTATTTGCAGGCCAATCTCTGGGGGATCGATGAACCCTGCGAGGACACTGGGCCCTGCAGTAGCAAGCAACGAGTACAGGGGGTTATGGGTGTACATTGTGGGCCCCGTAATGGGTGCGTTGATGGGCGCGTGGTCCTATAATTTCGTACGCGTAATTGATATGAAGTCAGCTGATCATCAGACTGGCCACAGGTTATCGTCTTTTAAACTCCGTCGTTCGCAGGGCATCAGCCAGGACGCAGCTAATGATCTTCATCCTAATACTGACGATTATCCCATGGAAAATCCTTAAATTAATTATATAAAGTAGCATGCACGCATATAATTAACGGGACTACATAAAACTGTACAGCTGGCTCGGTGATGTTTGTGTATATGCTGTATAAGGGTAGTGATGGGATGAGCCTTTATATTATCTGGATCTTCACCGCATTACATTACTTGAGAAGCAGTGTTAGCTAGTGTATATATAGTCATTATCATTTATAACTTTGAAATACCTTTTTTATTATTATTATATTAATGATAGGTTTGAAATGCTCGGTGCAGAAAGAATTTGACTTTAATTTTTTGGTCAATGACGAAAATATTCCGGTCACCAATTTGAAAATGTATGTACATCACAAACTCAGACGTAAAAATCAATTTTAATTAAGATAGTACCAAAACAACTCTGCCCAAATCTCATCCACCTTGTATTTATGAGGGATCGATTTACAAAGATATGTGTCTCTTCACAAAATAACATATATAGGTTTCGATACATGAACTAGCTAGACAGCTCGAGTTACAGGAATATGTATGTTAGAAATTATAATTATGATATTCCTCAACTTTCAATATTATACCTTTTAAGGTTTTGAATTGCTTTGATAACATTTTAAAATATTTTTTATTACACCAAAAATGTTGAAGTTGTTTTCCCATATTCTGACTAGTAGGGATAGTTCTAACAATTAATACTGAAAATTATAATGACGAACATATAGGAAGCTAAATAATGTGCCGCCTATATCTGTTACTGGTTAGAATTAAGCTCCAAACATGATCGATTATGCATAACCGGCCTGTTTACAAATACTGAAGTCGATCAGTAAATAATTAACAGCGTTTGCTTGAGAATATTAGTGAAGGATGCTCACTTTTTGAAGCATTTGCTAGATGCCATTCGTTATTGACCGGCAGTACATTAGGTATCATCCATGAGCGGCGCACATTATTAATTAGTTATTAATTAGTAAATAGGAGTCAAATTAAACTAATTAGATAAGCTCCGTGCATGATAAGAACCCAATCCATTAGATAAGCAGTTGCTCATGCTAGAGATTGTACGTAGGCGCTTATGTTGACAAATTTTATCACATAATTCTATGTTTTTTTCTAGATATATAATCGATCTGGTCTCTAACTTTATCGTCAGAACTTGTACAGACTCTAATCTATAGTAATCTGATGTATGATCTGAGATCATGGCCGGCCCGTGTAAGACTGTTTGGGGGGGGAATTATGACTTGTTTAATATTTGGGAACGAGGTTGGTTTAGGCGTCTTCAATAAATTAACTCGAAATCTGACGAGATAAGATAATTAAATTGTTTAGTCTTATTTTTTTCTTCTTCTTTTAATTAAAGCCAAAATTGAGGTATTAGTGTCTGCATATATATATTACACGAAAAAGAGAATGTAGTACGTACTCATCTGAGAAACATGATTCAGTTAAATTTTATTCTAATAATTAATCCACAAATATAAATACATAACAGATTCAACAAACAAATACCCGATATAAAAGATAACTGTGCCTAGTTTGTTGTTGGCGTAAAAGAAATCAGTTCAATTGTTGAATTTTAGTTCAAACAATTGGGAATGGCATTAATTAAACAAACTCATGCAATGATTCAGTATGGCCCTGTCCTAAATCATAATTAGCTGGCCTCTTTTCATTGTACTTTGCGATGATCGATGGTACCTACGTGCTCTCTTACTACTATCATAGACCCCTCATTCTGGTTTATTTTGTGTTAGTAAAAAAACTCCGTCTGTGGTTCTTATCTGGTTTCATTATGAACTTGTTGCATCCTTAAATGATATAGTACGAGTTCGGAAAATCTTTTCATGGTTAATATTAACCTTACTTCTTTTCAAATATTACATTGTTATCCTAATCTATTCTAATTATCATATCTTTTTTGAATTGATAATTAAATGATTTATATTATTCATAATGAGACTTAACATGTTGTTGGATAAAGGAGCTATGTTTGATATAATTCAAATCTTTTACTTATTTTAGTTCACAGAAAAATCTAAAAAATATATGTGAGCCAACACCTAAAAGTTTTTTTTTTGACTTTGTAAAAAATATCCTCCAAGCTTTTTAAATTGCAAAAACACCACTACAAATTCAAAATTTTATTAAAATATCTTAAAAATTGTAAATTTTACTTATTTCAATTCATTGAGAAATCTAAAAAACATATGCTGGCTAAAAACTAAAAGTCTTTGACTTTAGAGAAAGTATCTGTAAGTTTTAAAAAATATGAGAACACCCCTAAAAATTTAAAATTTATAAAAACGCCTTAAAAATTTTAAACTTATAAGCATACTAAAAACCTACAAATAACATAAACAACCCCCAAAAATTTATGAAATTTGTAATAAACATCCTAAATTTTTTACAAATTGTAAAATAAAACCCTCAAAGTTATAAAATTTACAAAAACACTGATAATTTCCAACCTAACAATGCATTGAAAATATATGAGTTATAAATTTCCTCTACATAATTTATAATTTATAGAAAACACCCTTAAAGTCCTTAAAGTTTTAAAAATTACAAACAAACACTCAAAATTTAAATTTTACAAAAAACACTTAAAGAATTGTAAACTTATTAGTAAATTAAAAACATACGAATTATAAATAGACACAAATAATTTACAATTTGTAAAAAAGACCTATAAGTTTAAAAAATTACAAAAAAACCCTAATATTCATAAATTACAAAAAAAAAACCTAATATTCATAAATTACAAAAAAACACCATGAAAGTTTCTAACATATAGAAACTAAAATGAATAAACAAAATTACTAACGACCCCTAAAATTTGAAAATTCTTAAAAAATATCATACTCTTTTGAAAAGTATAGATTTAGAAAAAACTTTTCATGGTCAATATTACTTATAACTTTTTTAAAAAGAACATAAATAATTAAAAATCAATTAAATTAAAATTTATAAAAAATACCCTTAAAGTTTAGGATATTATAAATTACCCCTCCAAAGATTTAAATTTTTTCAATGATTTTTTGTAGCTCCTTGATTTTAATGTAATGTTTAACAGTTTTGTATGTTTATAAATTACAAAATTTTAGTGTGTTTTTTTAAAATTTTTGAGGCTGTTTCTTTTGTGGTTTTTTAACTTTTCATTGTGTTTTTAGTGTAATACATAGATACGTCAATTGATGATGATATTGAAGAGTAAATAGTTCTTAAGATGTATTAGGCCATAGTTAAATGTGCACATCACTATTCCTAGACAATATAGTCTATATATGCAAAAAAAAATTAACAACCTATATATAGTGGTTAAAAGGATTTTGACTTTAGTATATTATTTTTTATAAATTATATTTAATGTGAACCCACCATATAATTTTGACTGTGATCATCATAATTTTAGTACGTGATTGATTGACTATATAGGTATATAAATCATAACTTACTTTACTTTCTGACATGAACTAATATTTAGTGCTTAATAATTTAAATTATTATTTTTTAAATTTAATATAAATAGGAGATCTAATAACATTTATTTATTTACCTACAGAATAATATAATCTTAATTTCTATTTTTTTACTTGTGATTTATTCCATAGTTACGCGTATCAAATTAGTAACTAAAATAATAATTATTTATGCTTAAATTAGGATGATTAGTTGGTCACTCACTATGGAAATTTTATGAAGATATATACCTTATTTTCTATAGCTATCTGCACTGCCAGTGTATATTTTATAAATTAGCTGTTAATTTGACATATTAAATTACTTTTCCTTTGTAAAAATTCTTCTTCGACTTTTGGATTGTGTAATCACTATTCTAGCATAGAAAGGACCTTACTCTAAATAGCTTCAAGCTAATTTTTGAGTTGCACTGAAGTATATACTATTGTTAATATGTGTATATATTTTTTAAGAAAATCATGTCAATACTTTTTAAACAGAAGAGAATATTCTAACCTGTGATATTATAAAAACTCAATATAGCCAATTGAGTGATTAGCAAAAGAGGAATTACATTAGAAAAGTGTGAATAATAAGATAAAGTGGAAAGATAATAGCATTACCAATAATATTACCAATAGCAAGCTACAATGTAAAGTTAACCTATTTTGTGGAGCCCAACTACTAGATATAAGCATAGAGGTTTCCATATATATACACCTTATAATTTATTAAAAAGGGTCATATAATCTTATATAATAAAATTAATTTAATATTGAATAGTAATATCATTGTAAATGAGCAATTAAAGAGATGTTAGGGACTAATATGTATGTATTTAAGATTTCAGGACGAATGTCTTAATAACCTAATTATATAAGCATGTCTGCTTTGTCACCTATTCTGTTCACTTTTCTCCTCGCTCATTCTCTACCAATTTCGATGTCATGTTCGAAGAGAAATAGAATTCATGTCGGCGAGGTCTTCTCTCCCTCTATCCCTCGATCTCATATTTTTTAAAATTTCTTGGATCCATTTCATGCATCATTCTGTGAAGTGCCTTGTTAGATTCAATTTAAATATACTTTTATTTTAATTATTATTTTTTCTTATTTATGGTTCAATTAATCACCAGATTGTTTACGTCTTTTTGTCCATTTCATATTTTGAATTAATAGTTTATTTTAGAGAATTTTTAAAAAGATTACTTTATAAAAATATTAGCAAAATCGATTGTTTTACATAATAATTAACAAGATTGACCTCTTTTTTGCCACATCATCATGACCGGCAAAAAAGAAGTTGATTTTGTAAAAAATCATCTTTAAAATACACGGGACTAATAGTCCCGTGTAATTAGCGAACATTAATTACAAAAGTAATTAAAGTTAGAAAATACACAGGACTACCACTCTTGCGTATTTTGCAGTCAGACCAGAAAATACACAGGACTATTGTATATATCCTATATACAATACAATTGCCCCAAGCAAGTGAGTTATAATAGCATTTTTTTTATATTTAGAACACATAGCGAAATATATCATAATATCCCTGTTTTAATTTCACAAAAAAACAATTCTTCATATTTTTAATTTTACTTCTATGGTACAAAAAATGAGCTATAAAATTGAATAAAAATATTAGATAATGTAAATATGAGTGGAACCATAACTAAAGTTAATGTGAATATGAGTCAAATCACAACTAAAAGTTTAAAGGACATATTGCAAGTAAATTCATATATAAATTTTTTTTACCAATTGAATGATCATCCATCTTTTGAAGACTTCAAGATACTAATAAACAAAGATGTTGTAGTAGATCAATATGTTTATAACTCATAAATAGTAGATCATGTGGCGGCAGTCTGGGTTGAAGGAAACAATGACAATATTTCATTTGAAAGAGAGATTATATATTGAGTTGATGATCAATCCCGCAAAAAACTTTATTTTATTTTTTATTTTTATTCTATTTTTATCAATTTGCATGATCATGATATTCTACCACGTGCATCGCACATGCATCTTAACTAGTATGTGTGTGTGTGTTTGTTTGTGTGTGTATGTATATGTGTGTGTACACACGCGCGCACACACACATATATATGTATGTATGTATGTGTGTGTATAATCCTCTATTTAATTAATCGAAAAAAAGGGGCCCTTTTTTTTGGGAGCTTGATTACCCATAGAGGTGACAATTGCGACCGCCAAGTCCCCTAGGGCCAAACAAACAGAAATACACTGATTGGTTCCATCTCCCATTAAGAGCGATGGTCCTGAAAAATAGACGTAAATCTAAATTCTCACCTACTCATCATATGTTTTTAATCAAAACCTCCCTCTGGATATCAAAAATTAGAGAAGTAGGTAATGTCTTGTAAATTGGTCAATCCCACTTAATTCCGGAAAAAAGAAAACTTAATTTTTATATACATGCAGCACGTTCAAAAAATATTGGATTGACGTAGCTAGGTACGGGTAACCAGCTTGATTTTGATTGGCTAGTTATTTGAAAGGAGAATTGAACTGCTTTCTCCTACTAATTTCATCGTGGGGAGTTTGCCACGTGCTTCAAAATCTGTGGATCGATCCAAGCAAGAGTACTAGTTTTGAGTCACAAACCAATCAGCTAGCTAGCTAGGTCACACTAATTAATAATCTTCTTCTTGCGTATGCAGCGTTACTAGCCTAAATATAAGGAGAAGAAGCAGCACACCACATAGAATAATTAGATCCAACAAGCTAATTGATCAGACCCAATTGAAGAGTGTTAGTACGGAGTTGATGAAGCGAGATATTAATTAACATATATGGCTTCAAACTCTACGAGACCTGCAGAAGATCACTCATTAGATATCAGTGAGATCTCAACTGATCAAAACCCCCCAAAAACTCTCAATCAGCTTCGAGATCGACTACCTCCGTGTATCCTCAGAAAGGTAATTAAGCAGCTAGCACAAGTGCTTGATTGATTAATTAGCTGCAGGCCAGCGTATATATGTTCATACGTACGTGTTTGCAGGTGATGGCAGAGCTGATAGCCACGTTCATGGTAGTGTTCGTTGGCAGCGGGTCTGGCGCCCTTTACCGGAGTGATGAGCACGAAGTATCGCAGCTTGGAGCGTCAATTGCCGGCGGCCTCACCGTGACCACGATGATATACGCAGTGGGTCACATCTCCGGTGCTCACATGAACCCCTCCCTGACGCTGGCCTTTGCAGTCACCAGACATTTCCCTTGGATACAGGTCAGGCCTTCCCAAATATTTTGTTACCGCACGTACAAATTAATGCTGATTGATACGTGCAACCTGCTGTTATTACATACATATATGTATATGTGATAATATGATTTTTAAAAAAAAAATGGGGTAAAAGATCATATGGCTCAGTTGTTCGTTTGCAGGTTCCCTTCTACATGTCAGCCCAATTTACAGGGGCTATGATTGCCTCCTTCACCCTGCACAAGGTGCTTCCGCCATTGCACGATCTTGGTACAACAACGCCCTCCGGGACCGCATATCAGGCTCTGGTTATGGAGATTATCGCCACCTTCACCTTGATGTTTGTCACCTCTGCGGTTGCCACTGATACCAGAGCTGTGAGCACCTAATCTGAAATTAATGATTATTAGTTTTGCTAAAAGAAGTAGAAAAAAAAAAAGATAACAGTTGATCTTGTTGATTTCAATTGAAATTGAAGATTTTTGTTGGTTTGACTTATGTATGTATGTATGCATGTGCTCATCTATGCACGTACAGGTGGGAGAATTGGCAGGGCTAGCAGTTGGATCTTCCGTTTGCATAGGCGCCATCCTTGCTGGGTAATTTATTTAATTAATTAACATTCACTTACTGCTCGCTACAACACTTGTGAGAACTTATTATTAGTCTTTATAGACCATCACTTTTTATCTTGTATTAAAATTAACATAGAATTCAGGAAAATCTAAGGGTGTGTTTGACTACTCTTCGCTAATTGGGTTAATATCTTAACTAGATTAGTTTTGATCCAAGTAGGAAGTTGTAGGCGTCAAAAATTACCTATAGATTCTCGCACGCAACTCGAGACGAAGAAAATGTGATGAACGTCATTATCCAAGTCAAAGAGGATTATCCGATGCCGTAAAGAAGCAAACAAACGCACGAAACGAGTCGGCAAAGCGTACGAGTCAACAAAACGCGCGAAACGGCGAAACGATGAAGAAACAACACAACCAAAGTTGTTTTTCGCACTCAGAGTGTGAAACACATAGTATTGTTTCGCACCCAAGGTGTTTCGCACACATGTACGAAACACCCAAGGGTGTTTCGCACCATAGCCTGTGTCATCTTCTTTAAGTGCTCAGATGTACAATCTCTCCCTAGGCTTTACTATCGATGTCACTCTTCTTGGAATCGATCCCGTCTCTCACCACACACTCCTCTCGGTGTACAAGTGTATTACAAAGTGATCTCACGATAAGAACAATAACAAATGGTTAGTTCTCTACAATAGATGAGAACACAATGTAAGCTCACACTCTAAGAAACACAATCTCACAACCCCAAATATATTATGTATAAAATACTAAAAGCTCAATAGGTTGTGTGTGAAAATAAAGAGTAAAATAACATATAAACTCAATTTAATCTAGCAAAAATAAATATGACAAATTAAGCATAAACAAGCTAGAAAATGAGTTTAAGAAAACTTCTTTAAAACAAGAGTGCAGCGATGTAGATTGAAGCCCAAACAAGAATGGATAATCTCCTATATATATATATATAAACAATAAAATAAACAAAATCTGGAAACTAGCCGTTACCGTGCAACGGCTCTATTGTCAGTGGACTTATGACAGACATGAGTCAACTGATGTCTACATGAGTTGACTCATTGGATTATCAGTCGACTCAGCAGATGAATATATATATATATATAAACAATAAAATAAACAAAATCTGGAAACTAGCCGTTACCGTGCAACGGCTCTATTGTCAGTGGACTTATGACAGACATGAGTCAACTGATGTCTACATGAGTTGACTCATTGGATTATCAGTCGACTCAGCAGATGAAAACAACTAACTATAAAACACTTCATCAGTCGACTTACCACTATAGTGAGTCGACTGATATCTGCATGGGTCGACTCATTGAAGTATCAGTCGACTCAGCAGAAGAAAAACATCATCTGCGCAACACTTCATGAGTCGACTCAACACTGCAGCGAGTCGACTCAAAACATGCACAGAGCCTGTTTTGAACAGTAAAACCCAACTTTAAACCCTCTTTAAAATATCAAATAAATTCTAAAAATATAAAACTTTGTAAAATGAATATAAATATGATAATAAACATGTTACAAATAGAATTTTTGGAATTACATTTCCCAAATGTAAAAAATCATCATTTTATAAAATAGTCCAAAACATGAAAACTCAATACACTTCAAATTTATCAAACAAACTTGTATATTCATTTTGAATGGATTAATGGACTTAGAAAAATATATAAAATGGTGCAAATAAGTCTTTAATCCATAAACACATACTTTTGTAAATAAACATAATTTCATTGATTTGTTAAAGCTTGATATTGATGAAATCATTGTAAGCATGTATAAACATGAAACAATTTGTGTAAATATAACTATATCCATTTGTTTTATATTTATATGGCTAAACACATTATTTCAAAACAAAATCGATAAATAGAAAACTAGTATATATGTTTATGTATATAACTATTAGTTTCATATTTATACCTCATAAACTTTGAAAATCAAAACAATGAAAATGAAAGGAATGTGTGTGTATAGTATGAGCTCTAAGTATCAACACATAAAGTATAAACACCTAAACTAAATATACCCAAGCAATCTTGATCTTCAATTGATCTCGTCTTGGTAAACTTTGCAGATGAAGCTTGATCTTGGATCTTGACTTGAAATGTATTGTTTCACTCAACTATTCCTTCCATCCTCCAATGGATATGATCGTGAATGCTCGATTCCATCCAACCTCCAACTTCGTTGTTTGTCTAGAATACCTAATAACAAACACAAATACTAGATAAACGATGTTAGGGATTGTTTGTAAATCATCAAAACAATATTAGAGATATAGGCTCATAAACATGAGACCTAACACTCGAGAAGAGTATCTATCTCACTTCAATAAGATATTTAATTACTTCAGTTCTTGTTTCCTTTGTGAAACGAGATCAACCGGATCTGATACTCGGTGGTCCACGGATCAAAGAGTCCTTGTCACAGGCAAAGATCATACGCAAGCAGCGATCAATAAACGATCCTATGTGTGTTTCTAGGAGATCTCATTTGTTTGTTTTCGTTGTAACGAGAAATTTTATAAAAAGATTAACTCTCTTGAATCTGTAATTGATAAACAATTGTAATGGATTCAGCAATGAAAACGATTTCCAACACAAACAGAAGTAGTTCAATCCTAACCCATATAAGAGCCTCAATTTAAACTAAGAAAACCAAGTTTGGAGTTGGTTCACTTTTATCCAAACAATACTTCAATCCATTAACTAGGTTAGCTCCACTAACTTGGGTAGTAGGGGGGTTGGCAAACATTTGGCAACTTGACACTAATCTAGTTACGGTCTTGATCGGGCTAGGATTGAACCAAGTTTGAGATAGTCCAAAAATAATCTAGATAAGAGCCCTTCTTTTAGAGCTTAAAAGAACTAGTCTAACCTTGTACAAGTTTTTGCCAAACATATTTTAGGCTATTATCTAAGTTAGTGGACTTATCCAAGTTAGTGGTTGAGTTTACAAACAAGCCTTGATGATCAAGAATTGACCTTGTGTCGGAGAGCATTTCCATGGATGCAAACTGTATTTTAGAAGGTTACAATAATCCGAGGTTAAAGTTAGTAAGCAATTTAGCCGTTATGGAAAGGCCCACTGGATCCTTACCGTGGGCTTTGGAGGATTGGTTCAGCTCAAACTTATTTGTAGAAATAATCTAAATGAAAATACGGCTAGAGTACCGGCGACTTATACTAACTCTGTTGTCCGCATAAATTCCTGATAACCAAAATATTCCAAATATAATCATTATTTAAAACAAATCATCATGCAATACCTTTTTTTTATTTCCTTCCCTTTTCCTTTCTTTTATTTGTGTACTTACCTTTCCTTTTTCTTTTTCTGTTTTGGAGAAAAGATTTGGGCATAATTTATTTATAGTGAAGAGCATGCAATATAATTGTCAATATTAATTGATCATACTTATAATTCATGTCTAAGTGGGAAAAAAAGGAAAAAGAACAACATTTTTCGTGGGTGGTTAAACGATATAAAATTTTTATTTCCAATTCACAAATATGTTTTTCTATCAAATGTGCATACTAATAAGTGTAAAACTGTTATATGTGTCTAAATACAAACGTCAAGTCATGATAAAACATCTCTGATTAAAATGATTGCAGAAGCACTTGATCACACTATTGTGATTGAGAACTACCTAGTTTATATCTCATGTGATTTTCTAATATATCAAGAATAAATTTAGTCTTGGCGTGGATGCAACTAAAACTTGCAGGCCCATATCTGGGGGATCAATGAACCCTGCGAGGACGTTAGGACCCGCGGTAGTAAGCAGCAACTACAGGGAAATATGGGTGTACATGGTGGGCCCCGTGGTGGGTGCTCTGATGGGTGCATGGTCCTATAATTTCATACGGGCGACGGATAAGGCGCCGCCTCTGAGCGCCGAGAGGCAGTCTTCGTTCAAACTTCAACGTCTGCAGAGCATGAGGCAGCTGCAGGAGGATCACGCATCTGCTCGTAACAGAGGTAGTGATCCGATGGAAACTCTATAATGCTGTGTTTGGGAGCTCAGCTCACTAAGGGAAGAAAAGAAAATATAACGAAAGGAATTAAATGTACTTGTCAATTTTCCCCTCTCCTCCTTTGCCCCTCAATATAGGGTGTAAAACTTTAGTGTAAAATTTCTCCTCATTTCCCTCCTTTACCCTCCCAATAAAATTCCCAAACAATATTAAACTCAAATTTTCCGTCCCCTTTCCTTCTCTACGGCCTCCATCCAAACACAGCATAAGGGGTATCAGGTTAGTTAAGAAGACTGTATATATAGATATGCAGGAGCTTTAATTGTGATGTTTTGTATAGGTGATCTTGATACTCGTCGAGTACTTAGTTTTGTACTTGCGTGCGTGGACGTATATGGTCTAGCTAGTTTATTCATATTAAAGTTTAGTCGTGAGTATACACGATATAGCGAAAATGTATGTACAACGAGATGGAACTGAGACTCGGATCATATGGTTTTGACCTCATGATTCTCATAATGTATAACATTTTTGTGCATGTCTGAATTGAATCCATTTAGATTAGCCTACCGCATCAATGATTCATGGGCTTTTGCAACCCAACATCTCCTCTTATTAGTCATTCAGTAGATAAATACCTCTGGCTCGTGAATGATGAATCATTACAATTAATTAATACAATACCATGTTGGGAGTTCATGTATGACTGTATACAATGCCATGTTAGAAAGAACTAAAAAAACATACATAAAAACTTGGATTTTTTAAATTATCAATGTATATATTTAAAATCCATTTAATGCCGTCAAAAAAATTACTGAAGTTGCTTTAAAATTTATATAGTTCACAACAAATTCGGTAGCACAAACCTAAAACTACATAACAACAAA